AATAAAAATATCAAATATAACAAATCTGCCTAGGAACAGGGCAGCCAATCAGGATATAGGTCAGTCTATAACATGTCTGAACTAGCAGGAAAATTCCTCTTCTTTGCCCGTAAATCCGAAGACCAAAATCCAGTCTAAAACTTGAAACATCATGAACAACGGCCACGCGGTTAAATTGCTCTCTCGACAACGAAGCTGTGTTGAGAAAAATATATGGTAAAATCCAAATTTAGGATTCATCAGAATATCAAGTTAACTTGAAAGTAATTAGTCATATATGTGAACGAGCACGATAAAAGATGTACTACATTAAAAGTAATCATATGAAACATCATAGACTACACTGACCGACACTTACCGTAAGGAATCCACACCATATGAACCAGCCAAGATGGAAAAAACACTGGGAGGGTGGGTGGGAATAATACTCACCTCCGTGTAAATAAAAAAAAATCATGACTTTGTATCATGTTAATAGCAAAATCTAGGAATTTTATTAATGACAAAGAGGTTCCTATTATGATAGTTCACAGCTGAGCCACAATCTGAGAAGAAAAATGGTCAATCGGGTGGAAATAGAAATCCTGAAACGTGGACTTGTGTGAACAGTCTGCAGCTCTCAATATATCATCTAGACAACCTGCCATCGAAGCCTTAGAGGCCATGGCGCCCCTTACAGAATGAGCCGAGAACATCAAAGTGTCCACTGCCATGGATAGAAGGTCACGTATCTAACAAAATACAGTAGGAGTAGAAATTGGGAGATGTGAGGTCGGGTGATCGTATCGTCCACGTACGATCCAGGTAAGACCGTAAACATGCAACCAGACTCAAGGTAGGTCTGTCAGTGTACCTAGGATAGGAAACAGTTTTCGTAGCCGACTTAGTTCTACGAGAGATGTTGAAATCTACCCCCTCTGGAGGGAAGGATATTGCTGTCCAATTCAAAGCTCTGACATCCGATATCCGTGCATGATATTAAACATAAAGAACAATGAGTGAGTGGAGCCAAATTAGATACACAGTAGAAATGGGGGGGTAACCCCTAGTAGAAAACGAAAAGTACAAAGAGAGGAATGTATCTAATACATGATGCGAGATATATGCATCAAGAAAAGGAGTATCAGAATAGCCAACAAAAAGCCTGCTGTCTAGGCCGGACAAAACCACTAAAAAGAACAAAAAATAATAAAGATTTATTGAACACTACAAAAATGTAACCCAAATGTGTGCTACCAAATAAACACCAAAAAATAAAAAATATATGTAAAAATAAGTCGTTGAATATAATAAAAACAAAATATAATAGCAGATCAAAAAATGAGAAACTATTGCTATCGGTAGTGACTGGTAATAGGTCAAGCTAGAAAAGCAGAGTGCCGATCTGATGGACCAATGATCAGTAGTGTGGTCTGGTACTATGGAAACCAAAACTAAGCTTGTTGATCGATATAGGTCCTATCAATAAGTGTGACACAGTCTATAAAGCTGTTCCTGTCCATAGTGGCTAATAGTGTGCCATACATTCAAAAATCCTGGTGGCTCAACAATGAATTATAAAGTCTGTTGCTTTAAATGTCAAAAAATGCTATAGGACTATATAGGTCCTTTAAATATCTGAGACATTTATAATAAGATCATTAAATAAACGTTGAGCTGATAATCCAACCAGTATTAAAGTGGCTAGAGTGGTAATCCAAATACAAGGATACCACTAATTGACTAGATATAAAGAGTATGTATAGAGGATATATAGAACGGCAACAGCCAGAAATCACTATACCGACAGTAAAGCATACATGAGAATATCTAGGAGGGAGAGAGTAGAACAAAAGACACATGTATAAATCGAGTAGCAATAGACCATGCTACAAAGTGTCGTGTACCAGGAACGTCCAATGATACAAACAGTTGATAACAGTATGATAAAAAGGTAACACCCTCTATATGAATATGTGTCCCGTGCCTTCGAGGGCACCTAGCTCCAACCCCCCAAAAAGATCTGTTTGTCAAGATAGAGCTATATAAAAAATATAGGATCTGCAAAAAATAGAGATAGACGCTATATATGTTTAAATGGAAATATGGAATGAAAACAGCGCGGTCGCTAGTCTGTGTGCTGCCCTAAGGATCCAAGGAGTGCAGCACACCACAGTCCTCTGACGCGCGCGTTTCGCTACACCTAGCTCGTCAGAGAGGAAACGAGGGGTGCGTGAGCACCGGGTTTAAAATTCCAAAGAAGTCGTTTGATTGGTCCGAGCAGGCAGTTCCCCATTGGTTGCCTGAAATGACGTAACGGAAAGCATTTGGAGGGATAGAATGATCTTTGCGGCTGCAATAATTAACCCTTTGGTGACAGAATTGGAATTCCCAAAAGCAATAAAATATAACATGTGGACTAAGCTACTAAACAGATATTTGATAATAAAGACAGATTTGTATGTGCAATTATTAAATATGTTTGAGTATATTCTGAAATAGCACTATGGATGGAGGTCAAAAACACACCTAAAATAAGGCCCAGAAACGATTAGATTTCATAACATATCATAGGGGCAAACTCTTATGTAAATGATACCATTCAATGGTCAATGATATAAATATGATATCATTCCGGGAGCCACTAATAATATTATTATAAGGCATAATGATTCATTATTAATGTATGAAGGGGGTAAAATTAAATTCCTCATTGAGCCCATCTGGTGACAATGTCTTTAAAATATATATCCATCTGGACTCTTTCATGAGTAATATCTTATTAAAGTTACCCTTCCTTGTGTTTAAAGTGAGTTTCTCCAGGGCCTGGAAAGTTAATTTTGTGGGGTCTGCTTCGTGATAGTTGCGAACATGATTGGCTATTGGGGTCGAAATGTTCAAATTGGTAATTGAACAGACATGTTGAAGTATCCTCCGTTTAAATTGCTGGTAGGTCTTTCCTACATATTGTATACCGCAGCAACAGGTGATTAAATATATCACCCGTGTTGAGCTGCAGTTGATGAATTCTTTAACCGTATATTCATTTTTAGTTCTAGAACTTCTGACAGTTTTTGTTGGTTTAATATACTGACAGGCTTTACAATGCCCACATCGAAATACTCCAGTAGTTTGTTTTAACCAGGTGGATTGTAATGACTTGACGGGTTCTGTGTGACTGTGGACCAGAATGTCTTTCAAATTTCTTGCTCTACGAGCAGTCATCTGAGGAAATTTTTCAATACTGTCACTTAGGTCCATGTCATGTTGTAAAATGGGCCAATTCCGAGAGATGATTTTTCGTATCTTATCCCAGTAGGGATCATAAGTGCCAATGCACCGAGTTGTCTTTGTTTCAGTTCTAGATCTGATGCTTCTCAGGCTATCACTCCTGTTGGTCGAGAGGGCTCGTTGATAGGCTCGTTTAAGAACCCTATTAGGATAGCCCTTATTTTTAAACATTAGTCTCAGTTTCTTGGCTTCCAATTGGAAGGTTGATTCATTAGAGCAATTTCGTCTCGCACGGAGATATTGGCCATACGGTATTCCAGATTTTAATTTCATTGGATGATAACTTGTCCAGTTTAGTAAGCTGTTAGTTGCTGTATCTTTTCTGAAAAGTGTGGTTTCAATTTTACCATCCTCATGTATCTGGATATCTAGATCCAGAAAAACCAAATGTTCCGAATCTATCACATGTGTAAGTTTAAGGCCAATATTGTTGATATTAAGTAGATTCACTAGATCTTGGAATTGTTTAATCGACCCCAACCAAAAGACCAGGATGTCATCGATATATCTATGCCAGCTATAGATATACGTGTCATACTGGTCTCTGGTGATAGCAGGTAAAATGGTCTCTTCCCACCAACCTAAGTAAAGGTTGGCATAGCTAGGGGCACAAGCCGTGCCCATAGCTGTGCCCTTTAACTGTAAGTAGTATTGACCATTGAATACAAAAAAGTTGTGAGTGAGGATATATTCTAGTAACTTGATGATAAAATTACTCTGTGCAGATGTAAATTCTGATGACTTATTCAGAAAATAAGAGGTAGCTTGTATGCCTATGGTGTGTGGAATGTTATTGTAAGGAGCAACAACATCCAAACTACCTAATAGGCAGTATGGAGGTACCATCAAGTTTTCCAATAGTAACAATGTCTGTTTTGTGTCCTGGAGATAGGACTTTAAATTAACCACTAATGGATGTAGTAGCTTCTCAAGAAATTTGCTACCTCTTTCTGTAATTGAACCATTGCCTGACACGATTGGTCTTCCCGGTGGTCTTTCTAAATTTTTATGAATTTTGGGAAGACAATAAAAGGTGGCAATGGTTGGAGTCATATTTGGAAGGATATATTTTAATTCATCATTACTAATAATACCTTCCATTTCTGCAATTTCCAAAAGAGATTTTAATTCAGTTAGGTATTCAGTGGTTGGGTCTATTGGCAGGCGGCGATATACATCAGTGTTATCGAGATGTTCCATGCACATCTCAATATAGTTGGCTTTCTCCATTAACACGATGTTACCACCTTTATCTGATGACTTAATGACCAAATTAGATTCTCGACTTAGTTCGACTAGAGCCCTTCTTTCTGCCAAAGTTAAGTTGTCTTTATAAGAGGTAGGGGGATCTAGAGACTCAATTTCATTAGTAGTCATTTTAATGAAAAGGTCTACACTAGAAATTTCCTTTAAATTGGGTGTAAACCAACTTTCTGGTTTGAAATTTGTAAGAGGTTGGACTGAATCTTGTTCGTCCAGTAAAGAAAGTAATGTCTGATATTGTTGATAATCCGTGTAAGAAAAGCCAGCTTCTTTGGCTTGTTTTTGAGTTTTTCTCTTGTGTACCACACTCAGGGCTAGTTTACGGCCGAATAGATTGGTATCTTTAATCCAATCAAACTTATTAAATTTGGGGGTAGGTACAAAGGACAGACCTTTTTCCAATAATGATAAATGGTGTGTTTTTAGTGTGAATGTTGACAGATTCACTATTTGATTTTGATCATTATTTATTGAGTCTGGTTTGTCCGTTTGTCCGGTTTGTAACCCCATTTGTTTCGGTCTCGTAACCTGCCCCCTATTGGAACTGGCCAGTCCTCCTCTAAAAAAGGAGATGAAAAAGGTCTAGTGGTACTCACTGCTGGATTTGGCCCTTGATTCTCAGTCACCGGATTATCAGGAAAGTTAACATTTCTATTTGGTTGCTTCAAGATACCTCTACCTCTTTTCTTATTTGAATATTCTCTATTGCGTTGGTTTCTAGATGGCCTAGAAGAACCTGAGTCAGAATCAGTCCAGTCAGTATTACCTGATGTTGAACCATTCTCACTTAGAGTGCGTGGTCTAGACTTCCTTCTGGTCCTAAAGATATTGCCTTCCTTGAAGTCTTTATAGTCTCTAACAAATTTAATGTGTTTTTTCTCTTTAACATGTTTCTTAAAAGAGTCTAAGTTTTTCTGAAGTTTATTTTCCATAAGTGGAAATTCGGCTTTGTCCTTAAATGTTTTTACTGTCACCAATTCTTTTTCCAAATTTATGTTAGTATCTTCCAAATTTTGTGATTCGAGTTTAATTAGGAACTGCATTAATTTTTCTGAACATTCTAAAAGAATGCCATTCCATTCATGTTTTTGTTCCTCAGTGGTTATCTTATCTGGTAATGGGATTTCTGGTCTAAGTCCCCGTGGCACAAGTTTCTGGTCAATATATTGTTTCAAACTCACTAGTTCCCAGTAGCCCTTAATCTGTTGCTGATACAATTTCTGAATTTGAAAAAATGTATCACTGATATCATTATTGGATATAGAATTGAGGGGATTCAGTGAGAAAACATTATTAATGTCAGTGGTCCCTGGATCGGGGTTTACTACTGTTGTTAAAAACAGTGACATGGTATAGGTTATTTTAGGCTCTATTAGGTATTAAAACCTGATATTGAATAAAGAACAATGAGTGAGTGGAGCCAAATTAGATACACAGTAGAAATGGGGGGGTAACCCCTAGTAGAAAACGAAAAGTACAAAGAGAGGAATGTATCTAATACATGATGCGAGATATATGCATCAAGAAAAGGAGTATCAGAATAGCCAACAAAAAGCCTGCTGTCTAGGCCGGACAAAACCACTAAAAAGAACAAAAAATAATAAAGATTTATTGAACACTACAAAAATGTAACCCAAATGTGTGCTACCAAATAAACACCAAAAAATAAAAAATATATATAAAAATAAGTCGTTGAATATAATAAAAACAAAATATAATAGCAGATCAAAAAATGAGAAACTATTGCTATCGTGATATTAAACATATTAGCATTTTCCATAAAAGATGCTTAAGAGATAATTTATCATTCAGGAGGCCAAGAGTCCAAAAAATGAAAAACCATATTGACATCCCAAAACGAGGAGTATCGTGCTTTTGGGGGTCTAGCGAATCTGATCTCCTTTAACAGTCAACAAATGAAAGGATGTTGTCCAACAGGGGGAACCTTCTAATCCTTTATGTCCTGAGGAAATAGCAGATCTGTAAACATTGACTGTACAATATGCTTCACCCGATTCAAACAGTACTGTCAGAAATTGTAGTATCGCATTCAGAGGAGCAGAAACTGGATCCATTGATCTGTCCATGCACCAGCCAGCCCATGCTCGCCATGCGGACCGATAGGCAGATCTAGTACTCGGGCCCCAGGCGTTGCCCAGGAGAACTGCAGTTGTTTGTGGAATGTTTGTGATTGTCCATGTGACAAAATCCCCTCTCCAATTGAGTTTGCCACGAGCTCCTGGAGGAGCCTGCTTGCCAGCCTCCTGCCCACAGACTGGGAAACCTGTAAAAGACTACCGAACTTGACCGACTGTTAGCACTGATTTCCCTGAAACTGTTTTGGGCATAGGACCATGTGCACGGTCGGTCAAAACTATGACTTCAAGGAAATTCCTGAACCGATCTGGGTGATTTTAGGATATGTTGTTCACCCAGATCGGGGATATGAGGGGATGTAACTTTTATGGGGTTTTATGTGTTTTTAAGGTACATTGTGGGGTTTCATAAAATTGTATGTTTTTCTGTGCTTGGAGATAACTCAGTTAGATTAGTACAGTTCCTGATTCAATTATATCCCAAGCACAGAGGAGGGATTCTATTGTTTGCATATGGGAGTGTCTCGCTGTATGACTCTGTTTTTATTGGTTTATTCACTTGTGTCCCTGTGCCCAAGGTCCACCTGGGAGTCACCCTTGTTGGAAAACTTGCATAAAAGGCCAGTGTGCCTCCATTAAAATCCTATTCCAGCTTGTGTCGTCCTGTTATTGGAGGGAAAGAAGATTTACTCCTGTGTCTGCTGTTCCAGCTTGCAGGAGATTCAACGGGGTAAGTCCTTGTAAGGACTAGAGCTAATTCCCCATTCGGCTCCAAGACTGAGCGGTTCCAGGGCCCCAGTCAAGCCACTGCGACTGAGGGCAAGAGTGCTGAGGTTTGTCCCCTGTTACAGGGAGCTCCGTTAAGGTCAAGGGACTCCGGAAACTAACCACGCCGGCCTTGATCTATCAGGTCATGCGACCTCCCATCCGGATTGAGAAGGAGATTTGGGACCATTGGTTTCAGATGCGGGAAATTCAAAGACATTTCCAGAAGTCGAGGGAACCAAGGTTATGTCTGCCAGAGAGGAGCAACTATTACCAGAGAACATTCGTGTCTGCACAGGTAAGATAGCGTCTGAGAAATGAGGTTGAACAAGGGAAAGGCATAGTGACGTGAGGGTGGCCACATCTGCAGGAAGGTGTCCACTGCTAGAGCTGCTGGATCTGGACGCTAAATGTAGTACCAAGGTAGTTGGGAGTTCAGTATGGATGTGAACAGGTCTATGTCTAGCGTTCCCCACAGTACCTCAATCTTCCGGAAGGTCGAACAGAGTAGTCGCCAGTCCCCCAAATCCTCCAGGTATCTGAACTTCCAATTCACCCATGTGTTGTCCAAACCTGGGATATGTTCGGCCATCACCAATACATTGTTGCAAAGGCAGAAGTCCTTGGCTAGGTTCGCCAGCAACTTTGATTTCGTGCCTCCCAGGTGATTAATATATCGCACTGCCGACACGTTGTCCATGCGTAGTAGGATACAACGATTCCCCAGATCAGGTGTAAGACTGCGGATGGCGAATGAACCCGCCAGCAATTCCAGATAGTTAGATTCCGGGAGAAACAGGAACTGAGTGATAGAATCTATTTCGAAACCTAGAAACTCTATTTTCTGTACCGGGAGCACAAGAGACTTCTCCCAATTTATGAGGAAACCCAGGCCCTCAAGCAGTTGTATGGGCCACTGCAAGTGGGAGAGAATTTGAGTGGGTGAGGTTGATGTTGTCCAGGTAGATGATCAAGCAGACTGCTCGTGCCCTGAGGAAGGCGACCACCGGCTTCATGACTTTGGTGAAGCACCAGGAAGCCAAGGAAAGCCTAAAGGGCAGACAAGTAAATCTCCATCATCGCCTTTGCCTCTTGAAGTGTAGCAGATCCCTGTGTTCTTCCGCTATGGGAATAGTCAGATATGTGTCTTGGAGGTCCAGTTTGACCATCCAGTCTCCAGGTTGAGCAGATCCCGGAGACCGTGAATGCCCTCAATCTTGAAATGTTGGTTTTGTAGGAAGGCATTGAAGTTTCGTAGGTTTAAAACTGGGCAAACACCTCTGCCTTTTTTGGGCACCAGGAATAGATTGCTTGTAAATCCTGCAGCCAAGAATGGGATTTCTTGTATTACCCGTTTCGATCGGAGTTCCGTAATCTCTGAGGAGAGGAGGTGGGCCAGATCTTTCGGCAGGGACAGCTCTCGAGGGAGTAGCGCCTGCAAAGGTGTGGTAATCAAATCGAAGCGAAAGCCTCTGACCATTTACAAAACCCATGCATCTGTAGTAAGCACTGCACAAACAGACCCGGTCTCCCCCTCACACTTATTTGGGAAGAATGAGGAATCAGTGTACTTACCGTAAGGGCGTTTGCCCGATGTTTGCCCACGACTGCCACAGCTTGCCCAGGGGCATCCCCGGGAAGGGAAGAAAGGCAAAGGCTTGTACTCCTGGAAGGGTCGTTGTGTGGAGTAGGAACCTCTGTGGGTCCTTGATGGGCCTCTATATCCTTGGCCAGGTGGACGGCTCCTAGACCTCCCAACACCAGTGAAAACCTTACTGCCAAAAACCCATTTGAGGTTAGATTGGGCATTGTCCAAACAACGGAATCTTTAACTGTCAAGAATCTTTAACTCTATTTTTAACAAATTCGCCTTACAGAGTTCAGCAGATAATGCTGTGTTCGCATTACACAGGAGGGATATAAGCCTGTGATCCCAACCTAGAGCTTCATCGAAGTCAAGGGTAGATTCCCCCGCCTTAGCAGACTCTAGGATTTCGTACAGCTTAGAAGCTGGGGCCAACGTGTCGAGGATCTTGTTCTGACAGTTATGAAGGGAGAATTCCAGCCCTTTTCTGGGCTTCCAGCCCGTCTTGGCCACGAACTGAACAATCTGCAGGTCAACCTTGCACGCTGCGTTTGGGACTAAGGGTCTAGGGCATTCTGCCCGCAATTTGCTGCGACCCTCCTTCGAGGCGTGGAGCTGGACAATAGTGGTCCTGTGCGATGTCTTTCCGGAGCTACTGCTCACAGAGGCAGGAGATGTATTTGTAATATTGTTAAGCGAGCAAAGCAGGAAGGGGAATTGGATGTACTTGTCCACCTAGGGACAAATGACAGGCAATGAGGTTTCAGAGGTAAAGGAAGTTCTTTGTGTTTTTGCTAATGATATGTGGCAGGTTGCTTCCACACTGTCATTCTCTGACGTTCTGCCTGTGCATAACACTCAGAATGACAGGCAGATGCGTATTAGGGACTTTAACTTGTGGCTTGTTGAATGGTGTCGGGAGCAAGGATTTGGATTCATTGCTCATGGAAGCTCTGTTTGGAATGGAAATAAACTGTACAAAAAAGATGGTTTGCATCTTTCTCAAAAGGGAACAAATGTTCTCAGTGAGCAGTTCAGAGGTTTTGCTAGGATGTATTTAAACTAGTATGGGGTGGGGGGGGGAGGGCAAAAGGGTGATAAAACATCAATCCAATTGCCCCCCAAAAACAGGACAGAAGGTGCCTCTAGAAAATGTGTTAAAACATTATCAGCTTAGAGTCATGTCTACAAATGCTCGCAGTTTAGGGAATAAGATCCATGATCTTGTGGCAATAATGGCAACTGAGAATGTAGATTTAGTCGCTGTTACTGAGACATGGTATAATGAGAAAATGACTGGGACATAGCAATACCAGGGTACTCTTTATATAGAAAAAAAAACAGGGACGGCAAGAAAGGGGGAGGGGTGGCCCTGTATGTGAAGGATAGCATAAAATCTAGCCTAATAAAAGTTAGTAAGGTGAACATAGAGTCCGTTTGGGTTACGTTACAATTTGGTAATCACACATTAACTGGTGTAGGTGTGATTTATATGCAACCAGGACAAACAGAAAAGTTAGATAATCTACTAGTAGAGGAAATAGCTAAAATGACAATGAAGGGGGAAGTTATCATCATGGGTGACTTTAATCTTCCTGATTAAATCCAAGAGAAATGGGATTATTTAGAAATTGCACTGCTGAAGGCAACAGAAAATTGCATTAGGCTTGTCAGTTAAAGCAAAAAATTCAAGAAACCACTGTAGTACTCAACAGATGTGGCCAAAATAGTAAAACTAAAAGCTAGCATTTAGTAATTATATAAAAAATAAAACAGAGTGAGGAAGACAGAATGATCTATAAGATTAGGCAGAAAGAGGCTAAGCAAGTAATAATAGCATGCAAATCACACACAGAAGAGAAAATAGCACAGTCAGTAAAAAAAAAAGGGGGACAAAACATTCTTAGATACATAAATGAGAAAAGGAAAGTAAAACAAGGATTAGTTAGATTAAAAACAAAACGAAGGTAGGTATGTAGAAGAGGATAAAGGTCTAGCTGACTGCCTCAATGAATATTTTTGTTCAGTATTTACAGATGAAAATGAAGGAAATTCAGTTAGGCAAAAAAGACAAATGAGTAATTTGTTACATGTGAGTTTACAGAGGAAGAGGTTCTATTTTAACTGTCAAAAGTAAAGACAAATAAGTCAAAGGGACCTGATGGAATACACCCAAAGTTATTAAAAGAGCTTAGTGGTGTACTAGTAAAACCATTAATAGATTTATTTTAACCAATCATTGTTAACAGGAGTAGTCCTAGAAGATTGGAAGTTAGCAAATGTTGTGCCCATTCACAAGAAACGTAGTGGGGAGGAGTCGGACAACTATAGGCCAGTAAGCCTTACTTCAGTAGTGGGGAAAGTAATGGAAACCATGTTAAATGATAGGATTGTTAAACATATAAAAATCACATGGATTTCAAGATCAGTGACAACATGGGTTTACTTTAGGGAGATCATGCCAAACTAATTTTATTGATTTTTTTTGATTGAGTAACTAAAATAATAGATCAGGGTGCGTGCAGTAGACATTGCTTACTAGATTTTAGTAAGGCTTTCAAAACTGTTGCACATAGAAGGCTTATCAATAAACTGCAATCTTTAAATTTGGATTCCAATATTGTTAAATTGGTTAGGCAGTGGCTGAATGACAGGCAACAGAGGGTTGTAGTCAATGGAGTATATTCGAAGCATGGGCTTGTCACCAGTGGAGTACCTCAGGGATCTGTACTAATTCTCAGGAAATGCTAGCAAAATGCTTGTTTGTATAGGGAGAGGAATTAGCAGTAGAAAGAGGGAAGTGCTCATGCCATTGTACAGAACACTGGTGAGACCTCACTTGGAGTATTGTATGCAGTACTGGAGACTGTATCTCCAGAAAGATATTGATACTTTAGAGAGAGTTCAGAGAAGGGCTACTAAACTGGTTCATGGATTGCAGGATAAAACTTACAAGGGTAGGTTAAAGGATCTTAACATGTATTGCTTGGAGAAAAAACGAAACGGGGGATATGATAAAAAACATTTAAATACATAAAGGGAATCAACACAGTAAGGGAGGAGACTATACTTAAAAGAAGAAAAACTACCACAACAAGAGGACATTGTCTTAAATTAGAGGGGCAAAGGTTTAAAAATAATATCAGGAAGTATTACTTTACTGAGAGGGTATGGAATAGCCTTTCAGCTTAGGTGGTAGAGGTTAACACAGTAAAGGAGTTTAAGCATGCGTGAGATAGGCATAAGGCTATCCTAACTATAAGATAAGGCCAGGGACTAAAGAGAGTATTTATAAAATTAGGCAGACTAGATGGTCCGAATGGATCTTATCTGCCGTCACATTCTATGTTTCTATGAGAGGGGGGTACACATGCAAAGAGCCAAGTAGTTGGCAATGAGGTCCGGTGGGTCCCACTCTGCAGAGCATGGATGGCAGAGGTCATCTGGGTTGAACAGGGAGTAACCCTGTGAACCCCGAATACCATCCGGTAGCACCGCCAGACACAAGTAATTTGGGGAGATAGGGTGACCCTCCAGTATCCATCTCCGGTTCGGAGTCATCCTCCTCATAGGAGGCTTAATCGGGGCCATCTAGTACCGCTTAAGGTGAGTCAGTCAAATCAGGTGCAACCTGTATCAGGGGTTGAGGGGACATGTGTCTGGTTTTGGCTCGCGGGCCATCGGGGCCGACTGATCGTCACGAGTCGGGTGCAATGGTGGTGGGTCCTGGGTGTTCAATAGGGCTTGGGCAATGAAATTAAATTTAAAGAAAAAAGGCGGCATTTTTATCCACCAATAACAAAAAGGGAAACACAGGTGATTATGGTTATAGGTGGGACAATGAACTATACAATCAGAGGACTGGATAACTAAACTTCACATGTGACCTCAAGGGAGGGCCTAAAAGACAAAAGACAGAAGGTTTAGAGGATCAAACTACAGCTGACTGAGGAAGCTCCAGAAGGAGTGAAACGCGTTTCGGCCATTAGGTCTTTTAACTTGATATTGCCCAATAGGGCCTGGGCAATTTTTTATTTTATTATTTATTTTAAATATTTCTTGAATAATAAACATTGGGGGAAGTGCCATCCCCCCTATGCTGGCACAAAGCATGTTACCCTCAGAGCCAGGACCTTAGGCTCTGAAAAATGTGAGCTCAATACCTAATTTTAGCAATTTATGTTATTTTTAACAACTATAGTACACATTGGATGCTTCTACTATTTTTATCTTTCCAAAGGAAACCCTAACAGAAAATAGTGGTGGAATGCTGACCTAAAAAACATATAAGCCCTGTTTACTGAGCCAATATTTTAGGCTCTTTGAAATGTGAGTGATCCATTCTGCTACTTAATTGAATTATCACAGTGTTTTACAATCTGCACTATATGGTACTCTACTTTTTGTATATATCTGCTTAACATGCACGGTTCGATCAAGAACTTGAGGGGCAACCCCCAAACCCATATAGCGCTCCACTTAAGGTATATGTATATTGTACACCAAGTTTTGTGGAAAACAATAACCACGGCCGCCTATGCACATGGCCGCGTGAACACGAGAGGGAGGGGAGGAGAGGTGAAAGGCCGTGTTTCCAAGCCTGGGCTCCCTGGGGGAAGCGCGGTCCAGGCAGGGAGAAACGGCCAGACGAGGGTAAAGGCAATGAGGCAGTGAAATAACACTGCAGACAAAACACAAAAGGCAATAACCATTAAATCATGAAATAAACATCCAGATTAGAGACAAATATTTACTTAGCTGGTCTGAGGGAGCAGCAAAGAAAGAGGAAGTTTACTGCTAGTTCACACCTGTTATAGACTGTCCTGTATCCTGATAGGCTGCCCTGTTCCAAGGCAGATTTGTTATATTTGATCTCTTTATTCAAATACATTCAAATTATTATACATTTTTCTTTTTCTATCTTTGCTGCTGAGGGAAACTAAAATAAAAATAATGCATAATAGGAGCCTCTGTGTCATTAATAACATTTTGAAAACTAATTCTTGATCAAAGGCAATATAATTTCTACATGGATTAAAAAATACAATACATGAAATATATTATATATAATAAAGGAACACTCCAAGTATTGTGAGTAAGTGGATTGTGGATTATAAACCAAAAATGTTACTGAAAAGTTACAAAAAAAATAATGTTGAATTCATAATTTTTTCATTTTTTCTTACAGAAACAGATTAAGAGGAGAAGAAGAAGAGTATGAAGATCAACTACCAAAGTCATTGTATGAGCTGGTGGAAACTGCTCAGAAGGGGACTCGTGAGGAAGAGATAAACAGGCCAACAAC